ACTCAGGAGGTAGAGGCAGGTGGATCCTTCTGAGAGTCATACCAGCCTGGTTTGCATAGGTAGTTCTAGGCCAGCTGGAGCTACAGGATAACTCTTAAAAAAAGATCAGGAGAGAGACAACTTTGCTAGCTACCTTAGAAGATGAAGGAAAAGCAGGATCATAAACCAATGAATGAGGATAGCCTCTAAAATCTGGAAAAGGAACAGAAACCAAGACTTTCTCATAGAGATTCCACAAAGGAATGCAGCCCTGATTGATTTGGCTCAGTGAAATCTAGGTAAGACACCTGAACTACAAGATTGTCAGATAATAAGACTGTGTCATTATTAGACCACTAAACTTGTGTTATGCCCAACATGGAGACTTACTATCTCTCCTTTTTTATTTCCTTGTCATCTTTTGTTATCTGACTGCTGCCTTCCTGCTATCACTTCATTCCTCTCTCTGTTTAAACATTTGATCCATAGAGCCTATCATGAATGCATTAGAGTCAAAGAACTTCTGAAGTGCTCTTTGATTTAAAATTAGGATTTTCTTAGGTGTACAGATGAGCTTTATGGTAAGTTACTTGATTTGAGATTTTCCCCCCATTTGATTTCAATGTCAAATGCTAAATGTATCTAGAATAGTTTAGCATTTCAAAGCCTGAATAGAAAATGTCTGCATAGTCCAGTGTTTTCTAAATATTTGGGAGGGAGCAGAAAGTGAGTATTTGTCCATAAAAACATCTGATATACCCCTGCCCAGAGAGTGAGTCACTGTGAAGGAGAATGCATTACACACAGAAGTATACTGTTGAAAAACTATTGGAAAATCACAAATCTTCAACCCTTCCTACACAGAATGAACTTGATGACTAGAAACATTAATAAAACTCAAGGAAGGATAAGCCTGCTACTGGAATCAAACTAAAACTTTCCACCCAGTGTACCTCCACTTGCTACAGGTTATAAACTATAATCTGTAATTAGGACCCTGCTGTGGGTGGCCATACAATTTATTATTCTAAACCCAACAAACAAATTTATATGTAAAACAACTGTTCTTTGGATTAAGTCATCTTGGTTTGCCATGGTTGAGATTTAAGAGTTTTCCATCTAATTGGTATGCTATTTTTCCAACTTTGTCACTTTAATACTATCAAAGAACCAAGCTACTTTGCTTGTGCTGGTTTTTTAAGGTTCACTGGCTTGAAAGTCATGCAGTTGACAAGAGTCCTTCATATTATGAAATTCTTTTACTTTTTGATTCAACAAAATAGTTTGTTAAGCCACTGAGTATAGAATGGTTCTCCTTTTCATGACTGTTAAAGTTTCAAAATTAAAAGATTAAAAATGATTTTTTCATTAAAGTACTATATACATACATATTACTGTATTGTTGCAAAAATATTTAACATTTCTACACTATAACAAAGATTGACTTTAGGAGGAATGAAAAAGAATTAGTCCTAGGATTAAGTGATTCTTATATGTTTAGTTAAGAAACTTCTCAAGAAAATCAAACATGATTAAATATGTATCACTATTTTCTACTACTATCATTTTACCTATTCTGAGAGAATATAATACTATATTCTAAGCAGTATTTTTAAGGCCTTCATAGAGCCAAAGCTATTGATCTCAAAACATGGGCAGAGATGAACAAAGTCTACGGAAGTATGACCTCACTTCATGCAAGGAGGGCGTTCCAATGGAAGCATATGTGGCATTTGTTAAGTTAATGGACCCCACCATTCCCCAATATTTAGCATCCATGAACTTCAAGGTCTCAAAAGCCAAAAGTATCTATTTTCAAGATATTGCAATGGTTTTAACATACTCCTACATACTTCAAATGGTCCAGGGGCATTACTCATTACAGGAAACTAGAGCACAAAGGCAACAGTCCAGGCCTAAGAATCCACTCACTCACAACTTCCAAGGAGAGTGTGATGGTTGATCATGACTATCAACTTGAAGGCATCAAGAATCACCTAGGACACGACACTTTGAGCATGCCTGTGAGGGATTATTTTCATTATGTTAAGGTGGGAAGACTCACTGTAAAAGTAGGTAGCACCATTGCATGGACTGGTGCTCTAGGCAGCATAAAAAGGAGAGAGCCAGCTGAGCACCAGCACGAATGGATCACTTCTGACTGTGGATGCAATGTGACCAGCAGCCTCTCTCCTACCACTATACCTTCCCCACCATCTTGGACTTCGTTGGAACTCTAAAACAGAATAAATCCTTCCATTCTTAAGTTACTTTGGTCAGATATTTTTTCTCAGCAACAAGGAAAATAACTAAATACAGAGAGGCAGCTACTCAGCTCCTGAAATTCACTGGTCTATATTACTCCAGTGAGTAACCATGAACCATGCAAAGCAGTAATTCTGGTAAGTTCATTTATTCTAAAAATTAATGTTTATCTACAAGTCGATTAAAGTCTAGTCTCTGGGAAAGAAAGCAGAGGGTTAAAAAGGATAGGAGGAACTAATGCTCATTTTTGGTCCTCGAGCTAAAGCACCAAACCCAATCAGCTTGTTAGTAGAAAAATTGTTGTTACAAACTGTTTACAAACTCAAGTCCTGAAACAAAAATTTATTATTGATCCCTTGAAATCTTTAAGCTATTATGATGCTCTACCTACTCAATCTTCGTTTAGTACAATTTCACCATCAGAAATTAAGAGTTGAGAAAGGAAGAGGTACATACTAAAGAGTTCACATTAATAGTTCTAAGGACTCCATATGCTCATTTTAAAGATTTTTCTCACAATGGTGTGGTGGTATACGCCGTTAGTCCCAGAACTTGGAAAGCAGAAACAGGCAGATCTCTACGGGATCAAGGTCAGCCTGTTCTACAGAGCAAGTTCCAGGCCAATTCGGGCTACTAGGAGACCCTGTCTCAAAAAAGAACCATTTTTTCTCATTTTAATGTTTTCTTTATCCAGCAATATTACATCTACAATTGATACCCACTTTTATGGATAACATAAGAAAAGGAAATAGCTCTATTTACATTTTCCTAAAAAAATTAAATTTTCTTTACGTTTGTTTAAATAACAGGATATGCTTTAAGAAACATGATAAATGGAGACTTGGAATGACATGCAGCTCACATTGGTTGTAACACAGCAACAGGTTACTAATCACTGGTAATTTCTATTTGTTGAATACTAATTTAACAAAAAAAGAGTCTGACAATGACCCCATTTGAATAGCATTTTTGGTAACAGGCACATTAGAAGAAAGGGAGCAAAAACAGAAAAACGATCCTTTCTCCAAGTTTGCTTTGTCTCTCTGACATGAGACGTGGGGAAGAGCGATTACCTTGTCCCTAAAATTAGTTGAACAAAAACAGTTGGTCTCAATTCAGCATCCATTTATATTTCACTCTAAGCTTACCTTGACTTCTCAAAGCGGTATGACACTAGAAAGTTCCATGATTGGACGTGACAATAAAGTTTCCCAGTCTTTTCAAGCTATATATACTCTTTTTAAAAACTTTTCAAGTTTATTTGTTTTTTATTTAATTTTACGTGCATGTTTGTTTTGCCTGCATACATGTAAGCTCACCCATGCACGCAGTGCCTCTGGATCCCTTGGAACATTATTAGCCACCATGTGGGTGCTGAGAACCAAACCCAGGTCCTCTGCAAGAATAACCAGTGCTCTTAACCACTAAGCTATTTCTCCATCCCCAAGCCATATATTCTTGAAAAAAAATAATGGTGTTGGGGGGGGAAATGTCATTCAGTCATTCAAGACCCTTGAGGTGCCACCCAAGAAGTAACACCACTTATCAATGATGGAGAGAAAAATGAACTTAATTTTCATTTCACAACAACCCAAATATACATGAGAAAAATCAAGAAATACTTGAAAATAATTTAATCTTATAAACGATTTTACAAATTCAGGTTATACACACAGATGGAAAGTATAATCAATAACATCTTGCATTATTGTAGATCACTATTTTATTGTACTTTTAAAGCAATTAATCCAGCTAGCGCACATACTAGAAACAGTTATGAGGTTTCTTGCCTAATGGTAACTAACTCTGAGGATTTACACTGGAGACTTGGTACAAGGAAGTAAAGGTAGACTTTCAGCTCCTTTGTGTTTTTCTCCGCAATGTTTGTTCTGCTGAATCATACGAGGCCAAATGATACGGGGGCGGGGGGCGGGGATTTGAAATGGTTGTCTGTGTTGCTACCTAGTAGTTGATCATTAAGTACAGACTCAATAAAGAAAGAAAAGGCTGGAGGAGTGGGTGCTTATAGGTTTAACATGCTTCACAGTAGTCTGAAAGATCACATATGAAAGCCCTTCCCGAAATGAATTGTAACTTCCTCAGGAAGTTCACTGAGTTCAAGTGAAAAAGACTGTATCTCAGAGCCCCTTTTCCCGAGTCATCCACATGGATACCAACATCCTTTGGGTTCAGGGATTCACCAAGGGAAAAAGGAACCCCACTTCAAAACCACCTTTAGTCAATAAAGCCAGTACAAATATTCCTGATGGCAGATACTGTTCCTTAATGAGGGGGAAGAGGAAAGAGCGAAGAGGAATTAGAACACAAGAGAGGGAGGAGGCCTGAGTGGAAACTACAAACTGGAGTGAGACACAGAAACACAAAGGCCTTGCGAGTTAACTGACAGCACAGGCTAGCGAATCCCCAGGCTACGGCTTTGGGAGTAGGCGGGACCGAGGGTTCAGGGCCCTGTACCCAGCGGAATACGCTGGCGAGACACACCCGCGCGTTGCTGGGCAACCGCGGCGGCCACGCCCACCTGCCCCAACCGTGCAGCTCTCGCTGAGCGGAGGAAGGGGTCTTCGCAGAGAGCGGCCCACCGCGCCTCCTAGGCGCCCAGCCCGCCTAAGCCGTTCCCTCGGCTGGAAACAACGTCTCCTTACTCTGGGAGGCTCTCTCGGGGAGGGCCACCGCGTTCCAGCCCCAGACCCCGCTTCCAGGGCAGAGTGACCCCCGAGCCCTTGCCGGAAACACACCTCAGCTCAGAGGAGGGGAGGGCTGCCAACTTCGGGTCCCACCTGAGGGTTGCTGTCCACGGTGCTGTCACTCAGAGACAGGGGCGGGACGAGCGAGCCGGATACCCCTACTCAGAAAGGGCGGGACGGAGGGGCGGGTCCAGGATGGAAGGGCGGGACCAGCCCTCAGGCTGCGCTCTGATTGGCTAGGCCCGCTCACCACTGAGAGAGGACTGGACAACTGTTCTCGCGCCTTCCCTCCCTTTCTCTAGACTGGGTTAAGGAGCTTTACTACCTTTCCCAAGGCAGATGCAGAAGTTGTAACTAAGGACCTTGACTTGGTTTACAAACATAAGACGAAAAACAAAAGTTATCTTCATGAGTGGTCTCTTCCCACCTTTACACACACACATATACACACATACACACTACCAAACCCAGAGTCAGGTAAATATCCTTAGGTAGAAGTTCAAACTGTGAAAACATGTTAAATGGCAGATTAAAGAAAAAGAGCAAAATCATTTTAATTTTATCTATTAGAAGAATCAGAATCATCAATTTAGGGAAAGTAATTTCTGAAATATGAACATCAAGTAAGGTTTCATTCTATTTCAGGTACTTAATTTTCACACCTATTAAATAGTAATGAAATATTGAGCTATTCGGGATGTATTTGACAATTCAGTGCTTTAAAAAGCATGCTTTCCATAAACCTTACAAAACCCTAGTGAGAGATGGTATTATCCACAATCTATGAAACATAGACCAAGAAAGATTAAGTTTATTAAATCACTGAACAAATCTAATCATCTGCTGTGATTCTTTTTATAATGTGGTAAACTAAATTTCAAATTTCTTCAAAAGATTGTAATTTCAACTGTAATTTTTTGATTACTGAAGTATAAGTTCCATTTCTCTGGCTACTATATTTCATCTTTTAAAAACACAAAAGCTTATAAGAAACAAAATGCTGTACAAACAGAACTAAGAAAAATATAAATAGATTTCCCTGAAACTCCAGGATATCATGGTTGAGAACAGAAATCCAAAATACATTTTATTCTCTGTCCTTTTGAATCATTCCGGTATCCATTTCTTCCACCCAAAACAAAAGTAGAGTTAAATAAAATTAAGTTAATATTTTTAACCAGGCTTTTTTATATGTGGCTTTAAAATAGTGAAATCATTTTATTTATCCTTTATGAAACTAAAACCAAGAATCTTGTCCGATATAGTAACAGAAAGAAAAGTGAATAGTACCTGGAGACACATGCTTTGATATTCAAATAAAGTGCCCATCATCTTATGATAAAATATTGGAATAAAGAGAACACATTCCAATTGCAAATGATTTTATTTTCTTATCTTGCTGAACTTCCAAATTATTCTGAAAGCTTACTATGAATAACTCTACATAAAATTCTCTTCATTGTGTGACTCATGGCCCCTTACATTTCTTTAATCTTTTAAACATATTTGAGTATAAAAGAGTTACGATTATGTATTAATAAGAACATTATATAAATACTGTTAATATTAGATAAAAGTAGTGGATGTCCTTGAGTCATTTTCAAATGCATATTCAAATAAAAACAGCAAGTGCATTTGTTTGGATTTCTCACATGTTTAAAGTATATTTAAGTAAATGTATCATATGCACATAAATACGTAATCTTTGAAATAAACACAGATATATATTCCACGTATGTATAGCTCAAGACGTTTGAAGGATATTCAAATTGCTGGAACTCTACACCTTGGTATTTTAGTCATACATTCAGTAAAAAACACTGTGCTACATATGCAAAGAACAGGAAGTAATAAGTCTCTGCTACGGCATTTCCTGCTGTGAACATATCCTTATGAGATGAGTTTGCTCTACTTATTCTGTAAGCATTTTACCGCTTTGTTTCATGAGCACTAGACAATTTACACTATATTAGTATAAAAAGTACAGAGTAGTTTTGCAACTGTCTTAAAAAACAATTAAGTTGCAACAATATAAAGGGGAAAAGGAGAGTAATAGAATAGAAATAGTAAATTGAGTTGGGGAATGGGAAGGCAGAGTAGAGGAGGGAGAATGAGGAGGCATAACTAACACTAAAGTTCTTTGGGGGGAAAATATGGAAACCTACCATTATAGAAGCTTCTTAAAGTGTATACATATACAGTTGAAAGGAGGTTAAAAGGAGTTATCTTAACAGGGTGACATTGCCACTATTATACAAAATAACGCAACCATCCATAATTCCAGTTCCAGGAGATTCTGACCTCACCAGGTGTTGCACATCAGGGGTGCCCTTACATACAGGCAATATACTCACACACATAAAATAATAATAAATAAAATATTTTAAAAGGGGGAGACTAGAGAGATGGCTGAGCAGTTAAGAGTATTGGCTGCACTTGCAAAAGACCTGGGTTTGAGTCCCAACACCCACAGGGTGGCTACCAACCATCCATAATATCAGTTCCTGGGGATTTGATAACCTCTTCTGACCTCGCTAGGCATTGTACAACATGGGTGCACTTACATACATGCAAGCAATACACCCATACACATAAAATAATAATAAATAAAACATTTTTTAAAGTAACTAGCAAAGGAAAAAATCTCGTGCTAGAAATGGACTCGCTTTTTTGAAACTATTGATCAGGGATCCCATAGACCCTCAAGCAATACCATTGTCCTTGCTCTAGGTTAATATCAGAACTTGATGACAAGACTATTGCTGAAGACACTAGATACATGTGTTATATACAGATAAACAAGGAGAAGCAAAGCTTCATCTCAACTAGCTAGCTTTCATTGTGCTGGAAAGTACTATGCATGCTACCAAAACCAAAATTAATCATTTTAACCAGCTGTGAATCTTTCCTGCTTCAGCAACAGCTGGCATGGCAAGATATGACCTCTGGTATAATGGCTTGAATATTATAAAAGTAACCAATCACTTTCTAATTGAATTTGATGTCTGCTTCATAAGAGGGAACCCATACCTGAGAAAGATATGAGGCCTAGGCACATGTGTCTAGACAGGTCATAAGGGAGGGCCTAATACTATTATTCTGCTAAATAGATATAGTATTAATGTGATTCCTGTTAACTTATTGATATACCCATAGATTAATTTGGCTCTCAACTTTGACCAAAGGTGTTTTCTTCTGCAACTGATGGTGTTTAACAAAGAAACCTACAACTGGCCAACATGCAGAGAAGAGACTACAAAGTGATTATTCCTGAATAGGGAAACTATATCAAACTTTTACCTCCAAAGATTCAGGAGTCATTGTGAAAGAAGGCGTTGAAAGATTGTAAGAGCCAGAGGTGATGGATGACCACAAGGAAATGGAGTTTTCCAGAAAGCTGGTCAGTTACTCGTATGAACTCATAGCAATGGTGACAGCACACACAAGTGCCATGTAAGCTCACCCAGATAAAATCCCGGCATAGACATGGGGAAGTGTGTAAGAAAACCTAACTCTACCTGAGGAAGTATTGGAAATCAATAGCTGTTGGAAAAGGGAGGGTCTATCTCTTGGTACATAATCAGGTTCCAGTAGATGGAGCCACACCAAAGGACATTTGGGGACACAAATTTGACTCTATAAGCATCTATGGATCATTCATCTATCTACCTATCATCTATCATCTATTATATATCTATCATCTATCTATTTATCTATCTATCATCTATCTGTCTGTCTATCCATCTAATTTGTCTCCCTAGCACCTATTTAATAGAGTACATGATATTGGGTGAGGGCTAGCAAGGGGGGTGTAGAGAGGCAAGGGGAGCTATACACAATCAAAATATATTGTATAAAATTTGTAAAAACTCAATTAAAAAAAGAAAAAAAATAAGCTTAAAAAATGTTTCTAACTTACTTAATGCTCCCTATATCTGGAGGGGGATAATTGGATCTAGGCACACCTCAATAATTTTGCCTCTGGTGTTACTGTCCCCAAATTTGAAATTCCTCCATAGGCAAAAAGGTATGTTGGGAGAACTTATGAAGACCAAATATAACTAACCAAATACCAAATAAATATATTTTAGAGACAAAGCAGTACATAAATGGAAAAGGCTATGTGGTGTTTTGTGCATTTGTGTTTGTTCCCAGCATGTGCGAGTCTGAGGCAGGAGATTTGCTGCAATTTCTAAGCAAGCATGGGCTACACCATTAGTACCAGGACAGTTAAGATATGCAACAAGACACTGTCTCAAAAATCCACATATTGAAACACCATCCAGATGAACTTAGGATGTCATTCATTTCTGAGAATATTCTTAGCTCTGAAGCTACATTGATGTTAATGTAACCATGTCGTCTTTTGGCTTTTAACCTTCTCCTGTTTCATTGTTCTTCTGCTCTATTATTTTTTAATTATTTATTTTTAATAACCACATAATTAGAAGAAGCATTTCAATACAACAGCATTGACATATTCAATAACAATTTCTAGAGCTAAGATGCATCTCTTTCAAAATTGGCTGTAAATTTTTAGATTTACACCTGAATTAGTATAGTTATACAATATTGTACTCAGTATAAACCCTTTAAGACATAAAATTAAATGAGGCTTTAACCTTTAAAAAAGATCTCCATTTCATTATTAAAGTACACAGTTTCATACAGAAAAATTCATTTTTAATGCAATTGACATTAAGATGTTTGCACATGCATTTCTAATCTCTATATATCTGATTATTACTAGTCATAGTCAGTTACTTTCTGAGCTTCTTGGCAATTCATCATGGATAGAAAGTCGTCAGGTAGATTTCAATGGTAATGTTTTTCACACCTACTAATTATGAAGGAGCAAATTTTTATGCTTTGAAGAATAATTTTTTTAACCAGTTCTTTTATTTTTTAATAACTACATGATAAGAAGCATTTCACTACAGTTTTAACATATTCAGTAACACACTCCAGAGCAAGAGTACATCTGTTTCACAAGTGGGTGCAAGTTTCTAGGTTCACAGTTGAATTAATACAGTAATACAATATTGAATTCAGTATAAGCCCTGTAAGACATTAAATTGAATGAGTTTTTTACCTTTAAAAATGATCTCTATTTCATATTAGAATATATTGTTCCTTGCAGAAAGACTCATTTTGTTTGCTACTAACACTGAGATGTTGGC